TTTTCTTTATAGTGTTTTTTTTATTTTATGTTATGCCAAATATTACATGGTACAAATTTTGTGTTCACAAAAAATTCAATAAAATAGTTAAAAATAAAATAATATGTTACCAACATACTTTTAATGGCGAACTGTACATTATGTTTTTTCTGAAATCGTAATTTTTTAAATTATGTAAAAAATTGCAATCAACATTATATGTATAACATCGCCATCGTTACCATTATTGACAAATGAGTCCGTAAAAGTGCTACTTTACAGACTATTTCGCTCACTTTATGGGCAATAACAGGAAAAATAAATATTCCACTAAAATAATTCATAACATAAAAAACTTGTTAGATTTAACTAAAAAAACAATTTTGTGTCCCTTCTGCTCTTTTATATTTTTCCTCCCCAAGGTTCGAAAATGCGACTTTTTCTTCCAGGTTGCGTGTAACTTGCGATGACACTCATTTACATTTCATAAACGTGCATCAATTTGTGGACTCCCCGGAGTGGGAATCGAACCATGAACAATCCGACGATGTTTTCCAAGTGACCATAACTGCTGAGGAAGACAGTGTTTATTTGTGTTGGCCGAGGATGAAACTAGAGCGTGTTTTAAGACACCGACCGGTCCTTAAGGTTGTTCTAGACTCAATTATTGGTAAAGACATAACCCAGAAACTCTACGCTTTGAATGAGCACCTCACTGGACTCAACGACGAGCGAAAACGGGGCAAAAGAGACGAAATGTGGGCAAAAGCCCACAATAGAAGCATGTCAATGGACGCTGTCAATACCGGAACCACCGGATTGGTCCGGTCGCACGCATATCGGACCTCGCACCGGAAAAATTCACTAACGTCAGAGGGTGAGGCGAGTTATACAGGGAGTCTGGAAAAAACGTTGAAAGATTTTGGTCAAATTAAAAAGAGTTTTCTCATCTAATATTTTAAAATATCGTTCTAGCTCCCTCAGGAACTTTTTTTCTTATTTTGACCTAAAGAACCACAACCAAAATCTTTCATCGTTTTTTCCACACATCCTGTATACAGAGTGTCCCATCGAGTTGGTAAAGTCCATTAGTGACCTAAATGGTAAAATTTAAAAAAAATATATAGGACATTGATAAATACTAATCTAGTCCATCGCCTATAGTTATTTTCAACTATACAAAGTGTACCAAAAATAAGTTACAAAACAAACTTGTGTTTTTTTAAATGAAACACCATATGTTTCTTAGCATTTTTGATTTTTATGACAATGTTTTGAAGCTAAACTTTTATTTTGCTTAGTTTTAAAAATAAGACGGTTTTTTTGATAAAAACATGCACTTTTTAAAAATGTATTACACGAAAACTAAAACAGCTAGAGCAATTTTTTTTACTTCTGCAAAGAAGAAAGTACAGAATTTGAAGCTGTAACAATTTTTTAGTGTTTTGCATTTGTAAAGATTAAAAAATAAAGAGGTTTGTTAAAAGTTTAATAACTTTAAAAATTTAACACCCTAAATAGGGAACACCCTATTTTTTATTTTTGCATCTAAGAGATTCATAAATTGTCTATCTAAAAAAATAAATGTTTCATGTCTAGAATTGGTAAATGAAAAGATATTTAACATTCAATATTAATTGTGGCAACAATGCCTATCAATATCTGAGCATTGTTGATCCCAGAGATTGTAAAAGTCGTTATAAATACTGAAATTCGAATTATTTTATTGTAAAAATAAAGAAGAATGAATTCAGTTTAACACAAATGTGATTATTAAATGATATTTCTTCCATCTCTTGTGCAACTGTGCACTTTTTAGCTACTGAAACAATAGTAATTATTTTTTTTTAATGTTTAACGTTAAATATCTTTTTAGTTATTGATTATAAACACCTAAAAGTAAATAATTTTAGAAAGACAATTTAATAATCTTTTAAATGCAAAAACAATAAATAGGGTGTTCCATTTAAATTTTTTAAGTTATTGTACTTTTAACAAATACCTTTATTTCTTTATCTTTGCAATGCAACACACTAAAAAAATGTTACGACCTTATAGCTTGTACCTTCTTCTTTGCGGTAGTAAAAAAAATATTCCAAGATGTCTTGTGTAATAAATTTTTAAAATGTGCATGTTTTTGTCAAAAAAAAATTCTTTTTTTTTCAACTAAGCAAAATCGACCAATAAAAGTTTAGTTTAAAAACATTGTTATAAAAATCTACATCCAAAAACGCAAAGAAACATATTTCATTTAAAAAAACACAAGTTTGTATTGTAACTTATTTTTGAGACACGCTGTAAGTTGAAAATAATTTTAGGCGATGGACTAGATTAGTATTCATCAATGTCCTATATACATGTTTTAAAATATTTTCGTTTAAAAGCCAATATTGGACTTTACCAACTCGCTGAGACAACCTGTATACGTTTTATATTAATTTTTTATCTCTTCTTATCATATTTTTCAATATTTTTTGAAAAAAATTGTATTCTTTTCTAGTGGGTTCGATAGGTCAGCTTCAAAATCAGTGTTGGGTTCCTTTGGTAGCGAAACAATTTCCGGCGAGTTCTCCCTTCACTGCAAACAAGACACCGTCACTGAAAATTCCAGAGGTTCACAATCGTTCGCTTCGTCGCAAAGAAAAAGACAAAGAAGTCAAATTCGAAAATGCACCGATTTAAAAGTTTTTGTGTTAATCCATGTTTCGTTTGCACGTTTTTGCTTGAAAATGTGACCACAAAATTGTGCCTTTGGTGCGCATATAAAGGAGAAAGAAACGGTTTTTATTTCAAGCACGCATTCAACCAAATTATCAGTGAATTCCACTATTTGCCTTCCAATCAAAAAATGAGTCAAAAATTTTAACCACTGACGGGGTTTGCTACGAATGTTTATAAACTGCTGTAATATATTATGAATGTTAGCGATATTTATATGTGTACATATTTATATTTGTATGTTTATATCTGTCGTGTTTATAAGTTATTTAATAAAGTTGGTTATAGCAAACAGAATCTCTCTCTTTCGTTTTGCAAAGAATATTTCAAAACACCAGCTTCAGCGGTGAAGTTTAAAAGGTTGAACTATATTGAATAAAAAAATAAACCGTTATTTAATAATTCTGAAACAATTATCATAACTTTTTGATGGCCTTAGCAGCATTATACAGGGTGTTCCGTCTAAATCCCACTTTAGAAGTATTGGGAGTTGGAAAAATCGTATTTATTTGAAAATTGGTATGTAGCCATAAACCATTTAGTCCTCCTAAATGAAAATATTTTCAAGATGGTGGCACTTCCTGTTATACCGGAAGTCGGTCTCAACTTTCTTATTTTAAATGGAAAGGTATATTTTTTACTGCATTTTTGGATTAACCGGGTTATTTTAAGGGAGTTTTCATCAGCTTTTTCTATACCTAAATTTAGCCATTTTTAAAATATTTGGAGTTTTTCAAAAATTTTTTGGATCTGCACCTTCCACTTTAAAAATCGGTAACTCTGCTATTTTTTAAAATTTTGAATTCGTTTTTTTGGCGTTTGAAAGAGAAAGTCTAGATCTTTCTTTCGCTGTTTTCAAATTTTGAAAAAAAAATTAACAAACCATAAAATTTTAAGGTTACTTTTGTAATAATTCAAATACCCATAACTCAATTTTTTCAAATGAAATACCCCAATTTTTATTCTACTAAATAGAGGAGAATTTAATTCTGCATCGATCTGTATTAACATTCCCTATACCTAAATTTAATAATTTTTAAGTTATGGTGACTTTTTGTTGAGACTGCCGAAAATCTGTTATTAGCCACATTCGTTTTTCGTATAGTTTGCTATGGCAATAAAAAATGTCAAAATTGTTTCTCAATAAATGTCGACAGTGACTTATTATTTCACAAATAGTGCCAAAATATGGAGAGTCAAAGCTACTCAAACTTAGATTTAATTAATTTATTTTGTATTTATGGAGAGTGTAACAAAATTATGATATCGTTCATTAAACAAAAATAAGTTTTTCTCACTTGTTAGCTTTATTTATTTTATAATTTAAAATCTTAAAAAATGGCAGAGTTACCGGTTTTTAAAGTGGAAGGTGCAAATCCAAAAATTTTTGAAAAATTCCAAATATTTCAAAAACGGCTAAATTTAGGTATAGGGAAAGCTGATGAAAACTCCCTTAAAATAATACGATTAATCCAAAAACGCAGTAAAAAATATACCTTTCCATTTAAAATAAGAAAGTTGAGACCGACTTCCGATATAACCGGAAGTGCCGCCATCTTGAAAATATTTTCATTTAGGAGGACTTAATGGTCTATGGCTGTGTACCAATTTTAAAATAAATACAATTATTCCAACTCCCAATACTTCTAAAGTGGGGTTTAGACGGAACACCCTGTATATTAATTTGAATTTTTTTGCCCGTGCCGTTTAAAAATAATTTAAAAAAAAACTCTATTTTCGGCCATTTTATTTTTTATAACAAAACTGTACGGAAGAATTTTCTGATTTATTTTTGGTGTATTGTAGATTACCTACTTATGTTACTGTATTTTTTTCATGCAATTTAAATAATGCGTTTTTTCATAAAAAAATAAAAACTATTCAATTTTGCAATCCGTAACAAATACTCAAAATGAGATGAAAACTCTGTGTTACTGTCTGTGTAAGGTACTTTTTTTAATTCAGGAACAACATCCAATTGTAGTAAAACCAATTTGTTTACTGTATTTCTTAAAAACAAATTTTTTTTTTCCTTTGAAAAGTTGTTTGAACGGCTTTCCGTCTGTACACAAGCGACAAATTCTTCTGGTGGTACATTTTGGAACTGGCTAGAGACATGCCGTCTACGGAACGGTAGAGTAAATAGTTTGAAAACTGTAATTTTGTAGTTTTCTGTAAAAAGACTAAAAATTGCAAAAATTTGTAATAAAAGGAATAAAAGTTTTTCATAAATTATGTAATATACAGGGCTGTTCCAGAACTCGCGCCCCAGAGAAAAATGCCAAAATCATAAAAAAAATGTTAAAAAAATTTTATCTATAAAACTTTCGAAGTTATGAGAGTTTAAATTTTGCACTTTCTCTTTTTATTTCTGTTGGAAAAATAATTTTCCAAGTTTTTTTGTTACAATCTATTAGAAGAGGAAACAAAGAAGCTGTATCCTAAATTGTAAATCTGTTCAATTTTATTTTTGGCTTTTATTGGCAAAATTTTTGTACCTTCACTAAATAATTGTAAAAAACATACAAGATCATCAGTATTATTAAATAGACATAAAAAAATGTCAAATGACAAAAAATAAATGTCAAAATTTTTTGACAGATGAATTTTTTTAACATTTTTTTCATGTATCTGATCTTACTTGAAATTTGTCTCTCACTCAATAAGGTTTTTTTTAGTCAAAAAAAAGCTCCCTAAATTTTGAACATAAATAACTTGAAAACTATTGATCGTGGAGCATTTTAACCTATTAAATCGTGTTTAATAGTGATTTTACGTATAAAATACCATTTTTCAGGCAATTTTCGATACAAAGTTTCAAAAAAATAAACAGTATCATACATCATAATAAGTAGAGTAGCGTAAAATTACCCTTTTAATTTGCAGAAACAGAAACAAAAGTAAAAGACACCATTTGAAAGCTTTTATATGATACAGTAACAGAAAAAAAAAATTGTTACGCCACTGGTCCGCATCGTCATTGTGTACTTCTAGATTTTACCCCACTCTACTTAAAATTTTTACTAGAAACTTATTATTCTAGTTAAACTATGCTTCCTTTATGCTTTATTTTTATAGGTATTACTCGTATTTATTTATTGCATTTTCGAAAATCTCATTTATTTTATTTCACAACGAAAATTTTTTTGACCTTGGACGAATTTAAATCGATAGAAAGAAAACTTTTTATTAAGTGTATTGTTGGTTGCTCAACTGTTGGGCGACTCCTGAGCTTCCAAAGCACACTTGAGCTGGGAAAACCGGTTTAAATCGATTTAAAGCTCATCACTGACAAACTTCGACTTCAATCCCAAAATAATTATTCAAGAAGTTAATAATAATTTTTCTAAATAAATATTACAATAAAAGATGACTTTCGGGTTCGCCACCTTCTCATCCATGTTTGCTTTTATTAACATCGAACTCGCCCCCGGCTGTCCAAAATCAACACCGGATTTGTGCTTTTAAAGTCATCAATAAAATTTCGGAATAATTGACTTTGATTACTTTTTCGCGTTGTAATTTGATTGGGAGAGGAAATCGAAAGCTCGAAAAGCTTGCAAAGCTCGAGACGTTAATAATTACGCAAAAATAGACGCATTTCGCTCGTCATCATGCACATAGGAAGTTCCAGTGTCACCGGTGGCAAAGTAAAGCTTGTGATTGGCTTAAAGCACGACAGATGCGAAGCGCGAGACATGAAAGCTTCAAAGTGTGCGTAGCGTCGTCAGTTGTATTTTCACATCGTGCGTGCTTGGTGGTGTGTGTGCGAACATTTTTTTATTTACACATGGTCAGTGTCTACGATTTTTTTACTATTCTCTCACTAACATTGCGAATTTTCACAACCCCGGGCAATTTTGCGAAATGATCGTTACAATAGGTAAATAACCAAATTTCAGCCCAACTGCAAAATTCTTTTTTACGACGCGGAATCATAAAAAAATGAAAGAAATTAATTAATTTGTAGTTTTTTTTTAAAAGTAGTTGCCGTTTTGGTTTTGTTGAAAATTTGAATTGAGTTTTTTGATTGATTTTGTGAATTGAGATTGTTTTTATTTCGCGAGTTGAGCGTCCCGGATCGACTAAATTGCAAGCGCATGCGCTTTTTAAGCCCTATTTTACTTTCCCTTGTATTCAACATAAGCAACAACCCGCGAACAGCGACCGTGACCCTCCGAGTAACGAGGAAATGCATAAAATCGCGACTGCGTCTGAAACGCCCCCTGAAAATATTCTCTTTTTTTTTTCAGATATTATTTTTTATAAAAGATGATGTACAAGTAAGTTATTTTTATACACTACTAGAAACACAACAAACAGTACAAATTGAGCAAGTACAAAGTTCAGAAACCTCAGCGAAAATCAGGATTAACAATGACAATAAGTGTCCGACGGTGTTTTCGACAATGACAAGATGAGCGAAACTCTGAGCCAAGACCCTGAATTGAACACGGGGTACACGAACTTGGCGCCTTCCTACCCTCCGACTCCTGCAACCCCGAGTTCGACCGTCCAGGATGGACCTGCAGGGGCGAATCTTCCCCCGTTTTCGAGCTTCACCTCGGAGATGGACTCCAACGCGGCGTTTAACACCGCCACTGACCGGCTTTTCAGCGACACGAGACTCCTCGACATATCAAACTGGGATTATTACACGGAAGCCCGACTTTTAGACCGCGGCGAAAACGGCCTTTCCATCATCTCCTCGCAGCCCCAATACCGGCCATGGGAGTCCAAATCGGTGGACTCCTCCACAGGCTTCACCTCCACCACCCCCGTCAACACCTTCGCCGATGCCTTCAACCAGAACGGAGTCTCCAAATTACCCTCATTCCAATCACAATTCCAGACTTTTAACGAAGCTGTCACAACAACTGAGCCAACTTTAACAACACTCACAAACCTAACTCCCGTCTCCCCCAACTCTTCTAGTCCCAGTTTAACCCCGTTAAACTCCAACTTTCACACCTTAAGTGCTGTTAACCGGGGGTACCCTTTGGTGCCGGCGCCCATTCAAGCCCGGGAAATCCCCTCGATCCAGCAGCAATTCCTGGATGAGCGCCACATCCAGCTCTACACCCATCCCCCGAACCTCAACAGTACCATCCACTTCCCGGCCCAGAACGGTACCATCATCCAGAACACTCCACTGATCACATCCCCGACCGTTGTCACTGTGCTCAAATCCGAGGATGCGGGACTCAAAATCCAGAACCTCCCCCAATTCCAGAACCCCATGGTCAGTGATAACGGGATTTACAACGGACTGGATAAAAAACTGAACGGTATAAGTGCTACGATGAGTTCGCCGACGAGAAACGACTTCCGGAAGAAAGAACGGCGAAAAATGCGCGCTTCCAGCTTGGAAAGCTCCGCCGAGAGTGATGGGGCTTCCAGCAATATGGAAATGTCGGAGAATTCGGGACAAGTGGCCGCCGTCTCCAGCACGGCCGGCTTTAAAACGCATCATAGTCTCGCTGGGAATAACTCGGTGGATCTTGACGAGATCAGTGGTGGAAATGTCGATAAACAAGTCAAGAAGAAACGGAAACGGTGCGGTGAATGCATCGGATGTCAGAGGAAGGACAATTGTGGTGACTGTGCTCCGTGTCGGAACGACAAGAGCCACCAGATATGCAAGCAGAGGAGGTGCGAAAAACTCACCGAGAAAAAGGTGAGTCCGAAACAAACATTTTCTTAAATAAAAACACTTTCAAATTGTTATGGACAATGAAATTGATAAGAAACAAGCTGTCAAAATTGTGTTTTATCATAATTACCTAGTAACTGAAATTCTACAAATCGCTTGGCAATTTATGGTTAAAAGTTTAAAATCTTCTCCAAATATTGACCAATCACAGAAATTTGAAACAAATACTATATTTATGCAGTGTTTCAGAACTCAGGCCCCAGAGGAAAATTTCAAATAGTATAATATACCTAAGATACCAATTTTATCTGTCAAAACATTTTCACATTTGTTTTTTCATAATTATTCAGTAAAAGTATAAAAACTTTGCCAATAAAAGCCACAAATTACGTTAAACGTGGTTACAATTTAGTTTGTTTCCTCTTCTAATAGTTTTTATAGATTGAATTTAAAAAAAAATTCATGTTCCTGATATCTTATCTTACTTGGCATTTTTCTCTAGGGCGCAAGTTCTGAAACACCCTGTATATCTTGATCTTACATGTAAACGTAATGTGGATGATTGCGACTTTTCGAAGGAAACATTACCATTTGTGTCCCCACTCATTCATTTTTTTTTGTTTTTTTTTGTGGAGTATTGGTCATTGTCAATTTTTTATGTACTTATTTCTGTATTTTATTTGAGGCTTTTATTTGAGCCTTATTATTATTTTATATTTAATTATTTATTTTGAATACATAATAAAAGATAAAATAGTATATTAAAGTACAAGTTGCTGAAGCACAAATTCGAAATTTCGAAACGAGCCGCGTAGCGGCGAGTTGAGGAACAAATGTGTGTGAAGAACCTTCTGCAATAAGTCCCTTTATACTATTTTTTCTATTTTGCCGCTTTATATCATTTTATAAATTAAAAGACGAAAATTTTAATTTTTTTCTAGTGAATTTTGCAACGGTTGGCGGCATTTATGTGGAATAATTTTAGGCGGCTGTGAAAAATAACAATAATTCTTATTATATTATTACATTTGAAAATGAATTGTGAAGAAAGTCCGTCACTAAAATTAAATTAACGCCAACGACTTATTAAAGCACCCAAATGACGTCATTTGGATGCTGGAATGAACTTATTCTAAACGCAAAATAGAAAAACAAAATTTCTAAACTAGCTTCTTTTGTTTAAAATGTTTTTTTATTATTTATTTTATATTTATTCATTTGATTGTCTGTCAAACGAAAACTCGAGCTTTCGATAATTGTATTTACTGAATACAACTTTTGTTATTTATAAAAAACAATAATTAAAAGAAAATACATTAAAATGTTTATTATCTCTTAAGAGGAATTTTTGGAATTTTTCAGTTTTCTAACAGTTAAAGGTTCAATTAATCTCAATTGACGACAGCAATTTAAAACAGACAGTACGTTTTGTATTAAAAAATACTTAAAAATTTTAGTTTCAAAATATCTAAGAACAAAAAAAATTGGAAAATATTTTTAAACGGCAACTTTCTTGACCTATTAGAAAAAAAACTTGTCACTTATAATTACACGAGAGCTTTTTATTTCGAAGTAAACTTGATATTTTAGTGAGAATTTTGTTTTCTTTAACAAAAAAAATTTAACGAAAAAAACTGCTTCTGAAAAAATTACTCGTAATTTTTTCTGTCAGTTTTTGAGTTAAATTGCCTAAAGGAAACAAAACTCGAATTAAAAATGTCAAGTTTTCTTCGTAAAAAAAAAACTTGAGTGTAATTCGGTAAGACAATTTAATGAATACGAAAATCACTAAATTAACAAATAAGGTGTAAACTAGTTTCTTTAATTTAATGGAAAGTACTACTAGTAGACCTACTAGATTCAGACGCTTTCAAAAGTTAGGTTCCGTTTTGTCGCTGTAATGGTTAGGGCAAATTTTTGTCGCTGTCATAGAGATTTTTAGTGTATGAAAAAAATTGACTATTTTATTTTTATATTTTTCATTCTATAACCGAAAAATTTAGTGTCTGTCAACCGGAAACTGGAGTTTTGAATTGTACTATTCGGTATTTCCTATTTTTATGTTGTTTTTTTTTTAAAGAAAATTTGAATTTTTCATTATTTTTTTTCACTTTTGAAAAATTAGGCTCCGGCTAATTAGTTACTTGAAATTTAGTTGCTACGAAATAATGAAGGTGTCAAAATAATAATCCTGGTTTTATCACAAAAATTTTGATCACATCAATGTGATACAGAGACTAGGTGTCTATTTTATATTTATTTTATTCTATTACTGAAAAATCTCGAGCTTTTCATTTATTTCATACTAAAAGATTTCACACACAAGAGTTTGTAATGATTGAAAGAAAAAAAATGAAATCTTTCTTTGTTTAAATAGTTTTTTATTAGAAACATTCTTATTTTAATTAATAATGTTTATTTTATGATTTTTTTTATTTAATTTCCTACCAAAAAATCTAGTATTTCAAGCAAACCCGAGCTTTATTAGTACAAAATCAAGATTTTTACACTTAGTTGCTGGGAAACAATAAAACCGTCAAAAAAAGTTTTATAACAACTTGCTCACATCAATTTGAAACAGATTCTAGCTGGTTTTTTTTATTCTACTAACGAAAAACGTCGAGCTTTTGGTCGACTTCACGTTTTATTATCATACAGATTTCGTAACGGTCTAAAAAATCATCAACTGTTTTTCCCAGCATCTTAATATCGTTTGATACGGACTTATCTCATTTAAATAAAGCTGGCTGAACTAGTCGATGCAAAGCTCGTAGACAAATAAAACAAGTTCGTCTACTTTCGACAACAATGTCGCTGTCCATTTGCATTTAACAAAAATCCTATTAGAAAACGCGTTTGAGATGCTCCAAAATGCGGTTCTGGCTTGTTTACGTACAGTCAGACGTAAAAACAAACACAACCCCAGACACAATTTCGAAAAACATTCGTGATTTAAGCCGAATTGCGGTGACGTATCGAAATCAATAAAGAGGAGTTTATCTATGAATCATAGTTGGCAGTGCCGTTGTGTAAAAGGGGGCGTGGTTTTGGCCAGTACTACCAAAATTGTAATAACAAAAACCCCGATAGTTGGTTTTTTGGTCATTTCCGGTGAAAAAAAGTGATTTGTGTGAATTTTGAGCGCTGGTAAACGGAAAACGGAAAGAGCAGTGAATTTGATCCAGTCCATATATGGCGCATATGCCATATTATATGCTTATCCACATACCAGGTAGTACGCCATGGGCCTAGGATCCAACAGCTGCGTTTGGAGAATAAACTTTTGCCAGCTGTTTGCGTACAGCGGACCATCGATGGAACGTTCATCCACCATAACCATTTCTATGTCAAACAATCAATTGGTCGGCTACCGTTACAGGACATAATGGCGAAAATGCATTGAAAGAACACTTACAATAGGACTTAGATGATACTGATTATAAAATATTGCTCGGAAAAAAAATGATCGTGAAAGGAGCGGAGTCTGATTCGGCCCTTGTCTCGCTCACGATGATTTTTCGCTCCCGGAATCGGACTTTCATAGAGCAATGTTTATTCTATCGAACGTTATTTGAAATGTGTTGGATGGCAGCTGCCGTGTCGTGGGCACGCGACAAGATTTCTTTATCTTTTGTACAATTGGTGGTTATCGGGAGATGGTCGTTGGCACTTGAAAGTGAAACGGGATTCCGCCTTCGGGGAATACAGGACCGGAACCAAACACACACTATTTATCCTAAACTGTTATTTTTGACTCACTTTTTATTCCAAATATTTGATTAATTAATAAAAACAATAGCTGGTCCAATTTCAAATTTCTCGCTCTTCCTCACATAAAAAAACAAGAAAAAACCTTTTGATTTTGAGAAACTTCAGAAAGAAAAAATAATATTAGAAAAGCTAAAACATAAGGTAGTCGAAATGAAGAGAAATAAACAAAAATAAGAAAAACCCGATGATGGAACTGAACTCGAACTAAAAAATTTGACTAAAAAATAAGACAAATTAATGAAAAGAAAGAACGACTACAGAACTGTGATTGAAGAAAATGAGACAAAAAACAATACAGTGTTTTTCTTTTGGTTTTCCTCTTTTCTCAAATGTATTTCACTATTATTCAAAACTATTTCACTTGATAAATTAATGTTAAAGCGACGTAGGTGGGAAATAGTTTTGAGAAATAGTTAAATACGTTTGACAAAAGAGGAAAACCAAAAGAAAATCACAGTAAACAAAAAATGAGAAACTTAAGAATGAAAAAAATAATAATTTGTGACATGTCTTGAATTTTCGATAATGTAATTTTTCCTCGATGTCTCAAACATCTTAGTCAAATTCCTCTTCAAGTTGAACAGATTTCCGGTTTCCCTCAGCTGTTTGTTTACACAAAATTCAAAGACTGTGAAAGCTTTTTCGAAAAAAAAAGGAAAGCTGTATCAGACAGTCTTTTTTCCATCACCTCGAAGACAAATAAATAAAATCTATATCTACATACATAAATTTATGCAATTTTAAATTTTTGTTTTACTTCAAGAATTTATGTTTATTTGTATATTTTATGCCATATAAAGTTAATTTTGCATAAATTTTATAATTTTTAAATAAAATAATATTCAGGGTGTAACGAAAAAATGAGGGATAAAGAGTAACTTGAGTTTCCCCAAGTCAAACTAAAGCGATTTAACCCAACTTATCTCTACACCAAGTTGCACCGTTTAAAAAGGACGCCAATAAAATTATGATTTTTTTGTTTAAATTAATAATTAATCACATTTACATATTTTGTACTCAATGTTATCAAGTAATTTCAGTAGATTTCAGTGAAATAAAGTAATTTTTATCTACTGTTTATATTCAAGAAATTCTGGCAAAATAAAACGATAAATATTGTTTATCTACTCGTGAAAAAAGTCCACTCTTGACTTCCTCACTCGTAAATTTAACTTTTTCACTCGTAGATAAACTATTTTTTTATCGTATTGTATAATAAATAACTATATTGTTAACTAACACAAACATACATA